TTTTTTGGCTCTCCTCCGAACTTCTACCCTGTCAATTTGGCGGCCAAACAAATATCCTAACAGGGCCTTAGTCCTATTAAAAATATGTGGACTTCCAGGGACAAACAAATCGCAGCAAAACTAGGATTACCTGACAATTTCAAGAGACGCAACACTGCAGACGATAGTAGCAGACGATAATAGTAGCGATTACGATCATTCAAGTGACCCACTTAAAAACGAAAGTAGAGATCGCTTAGTTACAAGATGGCGTCGGTGGTCCACGAAAAATGGCTCCTTTGCCTTTCAGTTACTTTGAAATCCTGTCGCTCAATACTGGCTGCCCAGAATCGAATACGTGGGCTCAAAGTTATTCAGAAGAGGTCGCTCAACCAAACGACACCTAACTTACATAGCGATCTTTGTTCAGCCAAATAAATTTCACTATTTACTATGCGGGAATTAAATTTCTTTAATATCTCCTTTTTAAAGTGAATTTAAATACTTTTAGTTGACATTTTTGGACTCTGTGTCCATTTTTACATAAATATGGGTAGTTTTGCTGGAATCTGTACATCATAGAATATAAAATTTGTTGTATAGTGTTGTTCCTACAGTCTGTCTGTAGAATATCATTTCTAACTTTGTTTTGGATGGTTAAGTTGGCGGCTTTTTTTATGCATTTCATTTAGCTGGTATTAACTTTACGTAGGTTAGCCTTTGATAATGTCCAAGACTTTAAGTCTGGCACAGTGTTGGTATGAATATTGTGTTTATAATCTGTTTCTTGGCACTCATTCTCACTTTTGGATGACTTAATAACAGTGTCAGTTGGCATACAAGTACACTGGCCCGTCGGCATCTTGTTTCTGTTTCCCGATCTGTTCTCCCGTCCTTTGCGAATATACTTCCTAGATATTTAAACTCTTTGACTTGCTTCAGATGAGTACCATTCAGTCTGGCATGTAGCAGACTAGGAATTCTGCTGACCTGCAATTCAACATTCAATAATATGATACTGCTAATGATACTGAGTCATTATGTGACAGGCTAGGATGAAAACTGTCTAGGTGTAGCTACTAGACATTCACCTGCGAATCAGAAGGTTCTTTCTTCTGGTCCTGAGGAGCCAGAGATTGAAAAAAAAAATGACTTGGGCTTGGTGGATCCAGCCTTAAATGGTTACCAGGTACAGTTCTAGGAAGTAAAGTAAAGCCTGCCCGCATGATGCTGACCACATAACTGGCACCAACATGATGCTGACCACATCACCGGCACCAACATGATGCTGACCACCTCACTGGCACTAACATGATGCTGACCACATCACCAGCACCAAAATGATGCTGCCGACATCACCAGCACCAACATGATGCTGACCATATCACCGGCACCAACATGATGCTGACCACATCACCAGCACCAACATGATGCTGACCACATCACCGGCACCAACATGATGCTGACCACATCACCGGCACCAACATGATGCTGACCACATGACCGGCACCAACATGATGCTGACCACATCACCAGCACCAACATGATGCTGACCACATCACCAGCACCAACATGATGCTGACGACATCACCAGCACCAACATGATGCTGACCACATCACCAGCACCAACATGATGCTGACCACATCACCAGCACCAACATGATGCTGACCACATCACCGGCACCAACATGATGCTGACCACCTCACCAGCACCAACATGATGCTGACCACATCACTAGCACCAACATGATGCTGACCACATCACCAGCACCAACATGATGCTGACCACATCACTGGCACCAACATGATGCTGACCACATCACCGGCACCAAAATGCTGACAGCTGACCACATCACCGGGACCAACATGATGCTGACCACATCACCGGCACCAACATGCTGACAGCTGACCACATCACCGGCACCAACATGATGCTGACAACATCACCGGGACCAACATGCTGACAGCTGACCACATCACCGGCACCAACATGCTGACCACATCACCGGCACCAACATGCTGACCACATCACCGGCACCAAAATGCTGACAGCTGACCACATCACCGGGACCAACATGATGCTGACCACATCACCGGCACCAACATGCTGACAGCTGACCACATCACCGGCACCAACATGATGCTGACCACATCACTGGGACCAACATGCTGACAGCTGACCACATCACCGGCACCAACATGCTGACCACATCACCGGCACCAACATGCTGACCACATCACCGGCACCAACATGCTGACAGCTGACCACATCACCGGCACCAATATGATGCTGACCACATCACCAGCACCAACATGATGCTGACCACATCACCGGGACCAACATGCTGACAGCTGACCACATCACCGGCACCAACATGATGCTGACCACATCACCGGCACCAACATGATGCTGACCATATCACCGGCACCAACATGATGCTGACCACATCACTGGCACCAACATGATGCTGACCATATCACCAGCACCAACATGATGCTGACCATATTGCTGGCACCAACATGATGCTGACCACATCACCGGGACCAACATGATGCTGACCATATCACTGGCACCAACATGATGACAGCTGACCACATCACTGGCACCAACATGATGACAGCTGACCACATCACCGGCACAAAAATGATGCTGACCACATCACCGGCACCAACATGCTGACAGCTGACCACATCACCGGCACCAACATGATGCTGACCACATCACCGGGACCAACATGCTGACAGCTGACCACATCACCGGCACCAACATGCTGACCACATCACCGGCACCAACATGCTGACCACATCACCGGCACCAACATGCTGACAGCTGACCACATCACCGGCACCAATATGATGCTGACCACATCACCAGCACCAACATGATGCTGACCACATCACCGGGACCAACATGCTGACAGCGGACCACATCACCGGCACCAACATGATGCTGACCACATCACCGGCACCAACATGATGCTGACCACATCACCGGCACCAACATGATGCTGACCATATCACCAGCACCAACATGATGCTGACCATATTGCTGGCACCAACATGATGCTGACCACATCACCGGGACCAACATGATGCTGACCATATCACTGGCACCAACATGATGACAGCTGACCACATCACTGGCACCAACATGATGACAGCTGACCACATCACCGGCACAAAAATGATGCTGACCACATCACCAGCACCAACATGATGCTGACCACATCACCGGCACCAACATGATGCTGACCACATCACCAGCACCAACATGATGCTGACCACATCACCAGCACCAACATGATGCTGACCACATCACCGGCACCAACATGATGCTGACCACATCACCAGCACCAACATGATGCTGACCACATCACCAGCACCAACATGATGCTGACCACATCACTGGCACCAACATGATGCTGACCACATCACCAGCACCAACATGATGCTGACCACATCACCGGCACCAACATGATGCTGACCACCTCACTAGCACCAACATGATGCTTACCACATCACTAGCACCAACAGGATGCTGACCACATCACCGGCACCAACATGATGCTGACCACATCACTGGCACCAACATGATGCTGACCACATCACCGGCACCAACATGCTGACCACATCACCGGCACCAAAATGCTGACAGCTGACCACATCACCGGGACCAACATGATGCTGACCACATCACCGACACCAACATGCTGACAGCTGACCACATCACTGGCACCAACATGATGCTGACCACATCACCGGGACCAACATGCTGACAGCTGACCACATCACCGGCACCAACATGCTGACCACATCACCGGCACCAACATGCTGACCACATCACCGGCACCAACATGCTGACAGCTGACCACATCACCGGCACCAACATGATGCTGACCACATCACCAGGACCAACATGCTGACAGCTGACCACATCACCGGGACCAACATGCTGACAGCTGACCACATCACCGGCACCAACATGATGCTGACCATATCACTGGCACCACATGATGCTGACCACATCACCGGCACCAACATGATGCTGACCATATCACCGGCACCAACATGATGCTGACCACATCACCGGCACTAACATGATGCTGACCATATCACCAGCACCAACATGATGCTGACCATATCGCCGGCACCAACATGATGCTGACCACATCACCGGGACCAACATGATGCTGACCATATCACTGGCACCAACATGATGACAGCTGACCACATCACTGGCACCAACATGATGACAGCTGACCACATCACTGGCACCAACATGATGACAGCTGACCACATCACCGGCACCAACATGATGCTGACCATATCACTGGCACCAACATGATGCTGACCACATCACTGGCACCAACATGATGACAGCTGACCACATCACCGGCACCAACATGATGCTGACCATATCGCCGGCACCAACATGCTGACAGCTGACCACATCACTGGCACCAACATGATGCTGACCATATCGCCGGCACCAACATACTGACAGCTGACCAAACATAAAACAAAAACAAATGTAGGTAGCAGTTTATTTGTTAAGTCTTCTTCATCTTCTTTACGTCCTCTTTTACCGCTTCGGGTGTTGAGGGAGATATAAGGTCCTGCTGTGTGCTTTTCTGGCTGCTTCGACCTTTTCTTGCTGCTTCGGCCAAAGTTACATTGTGGTACTGTAGAGTTTCTCTGATGTTATCCTTCCATATGTTCATGGTCTACCTCTTGCTCCAGGTCCCTCTCCTCTTTTGGTATGTGTCCTGAATAGTATAGCATCAGAAGGCATTTGTTAAATCTGATGTCACAAAATTAGAGTTTACAGTAATTTGACATCTGTTGCTGCTTAGAGAATAAAAAATCTGACATATTTGGCTGGAGCCTTGTTTCTGATAGACTAAGTGTTACATTATATTTATTTGTTGACATAAACAGTAGTTTATCTTTTACAGAAAAAAGTGTTGCCGGGGACTGCAGATTGTCATTCTACATGACCTAGGGTGCTGTGCTTGTAAACGATGAGGCTGACGTGTGAGGTACATATTACCAACCGGCTTCTTCCCACCCTCAATATCCGCAAGCCTGTGCGATCAACATTCACACAAGTGTCTATTGGCCAAAAGCCTGGTGGTCAGAACAAAGCTGGCCAGGTGTTTTTGATGTTGTGTACTGCCAAGAATAGAAATGGTACAAAGTACTTGGTGAGTAAACATCACTTTAACTAACTTTTCTTGTTTACAAGTTGTCGTACAATAATTCTAACTCACCCCAAACAAATGAACTCTGAAATCTCCAGTCAGTCAACTATTCTATGGGTGTTATGACATACTTTGTTCCGTGCACCAGGGTGGAAAAACTGATGAGCAAGCAAAATGTTTTTACAAACTGCTCAACTGTCTGTGTGTGAATAATTGTGCAACATTCTTTATGTATGTTGTGTGAACGAACGCTATGTGCAGTCATCGTGGGGGTGGGGGGTGGCCTGAAAAGGACCGACTGACGTTCTCCATGTATATATACTGCTGGATTACCCACGAGTTGACATTCATAGTTTTACATGGTTAGTAGATCTGGAGATGTAGTCGAATACAACTGACTGACTGACTGAACTGCTGATCTACCGGTGGTGGATTGTTGCCGTGATCAGAAGAGAGCAGTGTCGGCAAGAATGGTTGCGAACGTGTCGAGGCCAGCACCAGTTACCCACTTTTGTGTAAAAAAATTTAAAAAAACTCTTTCCGCCTGATTTTTGCGCCTTATGAACAGGCTCTCATCTGTCTCAAACGTAGTGTTGTGACCTCCAATCACTGCAGGATTGACCAGCAGTAAGCTGGCACAAGACTGCAGTAGGTAATTGCTCCAGTCAACAGTTGTTGCCGCCGACATCCTCAATTTTAAGTGGCAAAATGAAATGCTTGTTAACTCTTGAGACCAATAGTACACAAAAACAATGTAAGGCAGACGCGAGCCTTGCAGCCAATTGCCTTCTCTGAGTGGAATGGCCTGCTGACAGTTTGAATGCCGGCATCTCCAGCTGACCTGTTGCTTAGTCAGTGAGATGATTCTAGGAGCATTGTCGGGCTGAATGCAAGATGCCTTGCTGCTACAGAAAAGCAACGCTGCTTTGCTTCTCATGCATCAATGCTGGCAGGTGAAGGAAATTTATGTTGAAGTAAGGAAGTAACAGCGCCGCTTCCAAACAGGCCACGCAGAAAAGAAACACACACTGAGAAAATTTTTTGCCAAAAAAAAAAACATACACACACACAGTGAAAATGATGACAAAATAAATGCTGACAACAACCCAACACATAACACCCCTAGAATTGAGGACTTTACTGGGGTTTCTGGGAGTCCCTTTGTTTGAGGTGAAGTTGTTACAGAGTAGTTGTAATTCTTCAGATTTAACTCTTTTGGTAGCAAGGAACTCAACGTGTGATTATTGATTACTTTTTACATGTTATAGTCTTCTGTAGTTAGCATTTGTTGGTTAGATTTTGGGAAATGAATGGGCAGACAGATTAGGTAATTCTACACAAATGAGCCATCGGTTTGTGCACGTCAGGCTGGATGTGGTTGGGGCACCTCAGGAGCATGTGAACAGTGCAGAGGTGGGAGTGGATAATTGTAAACTGGAGAGAGTGGTGCTGCTGGGAGTGGCCAAGAGATCAGGTAGCCATTCTGCACTCAAAGGAAGGGCAGGACGAACATATAGTCAGAATGCTACTGGCACCATCAGAATTGGAACGCTTAGCTGGCTGCTGAAGATGTGGACAAAGCACTTATGGAACATCCCAGATGCTGTGATTTCAGTCTTAGCTCAGCACTCAACACAGTTTCTGAACACTCTGTTTCCCAGTGCAGCAGTCTTCTGACCACTCTGTTCCTCATTGTAGCAGTCTTCTGACCCCTCTGTTCCCCAGTGTAGCAGTCTTCTGACCACTCTGTTCCTCAGTGTAGCAGTCTTCTGACCACTCTGTTCCTCAGTGTAGCAGTTTTCTGACCACTCTGTTCCTCAGTGTAGCAGTCTTCTGACCCCTCTGTTCCTCAGTGTAGCAGTCTTCTGACCACTCTGTTCCTCAGTGTAGCAGTCTTCTGACCCCTCTGTTCCTCAGTGTAGCAGTCTTCTGACCACTCTGTTCCTCAGTGTAGCAGTCTTCTGACCACTCTGTTCCTCAGTGTAGCAGTCTTCTAAACACTGTGTTCGCCAATCTAGCTTTTATAATAGCTATTCCAAATGTTGAATTAAGAATCAACATCACAGCACTCAAGACACTCCCATAAGCGCTCCATCCCCATTTCAACAGCAAGCAAAGAGTTTCAATTCTGATAGTACTTTTCCCTCGAGTGTTAAGCATTGGCCACACCCCCTGGTAACTCCCCAACTCCCAGCAATACCATTCTTCTCAGACTGTAATGATCTATTTGTACCTTCTCACTGTTCACTCGTTCTCAAAGGACCCTTACAATTTCTAGCTTTTCATACATCAGTTAACCACCAAGTGGTGCAGAACTGGCCAGTCTATCTGCCTGCTCATTTCCCAACTCACCAGCATGACCTAGAGAAAATATCCAAAGGACGCCAACTAATCGGGGCCTCTGGAGCTATGCTTGCCACTCAATAGCTGTTTCACCTGTTACTTGAGCTCTTGTTTTACCCCTTCTGTTGTTTTTAAACCTCTCTCGATCTAAAAAACATTTACTGACGGTAACGCATACAGAATCATTCAATAAGGCATCTCTGCTTGGTACTGAAGGAGTTAATGTGCATATTAAAGAGTCTGGGAAGGTTATTTTTGTTGAAAGAGGATAAGCAGTGGACTGGGCTGATTTTCTCACACATTGTTTCGAGTTTTGCTGAAAGAAACAGTTTTGAAATATATTTGGAAACCAAATTTCAGTGCCAGAACAACTGGCCATGGGTTTCTTACTCACTCTAAAGTAGGGGTGGACTTGTTTTTCTGGCAAACACTGCTTGGATATTCACAGAATTATCATCTAAAACATAAGTTTGCTATATTTGGTCAGAAATCTTTATTGCCTTGATGGGGTCAGACCAGATGATTTCATGAGCCATGTGTGGTTCACAAGTGGATGTTTCCCTTGCCTGCTGTGTAGACACTTTACTGATCTTTCATCCTTCTAAAACATAAATGTGTTACATTAGCCAGCTCTATCCAAACTTATCTTAATCACCTCATGTCTAAAATTTACTTTATACAAAGCAAACAGAAGGGTCCGTTCCAGAGATCGCTTCCTGTTGTGAAGCCATGATGCATTTTAGGAGTAGAGAAAAGAAGAAGAAGTATTGTTGAGTATCGTTTGTTTGAAAAGACAGAAAATGACATTACAAATACAGGGAATGCTCTGGTATGGTCATGTAATAAAATTTACCTGCATCTCCAAAACTACACTCCAGGGCTCAATAGAAATGATAATAAAAGGCAGACCAAGAAAGATCTGGATGAACTTGGCTAACGGGACAGGCTTCAAACATGCAAACAAAACAGTCTATTGCATCTGACTGACATAAGTAGCGAGAACTTATCAGACAGTCAGCAGCAACTGGTGACCCAGTAACAAACTGTTATAGAACTACGATCCTGTTAGCTTGAAGAATTGCCTTTCCAGTTGACTCATTTACATAACCATAATACTTTCAAATGATTAAACATGTTTAGTTTGACATTTCTGACTCACTATGTACATTATGGTTGCAGTTATTTTTGTGTTTGTTTATTTGTATGTATATCATATATTCTTAATGCTCTGCAAAAAGTAAGATGTTGGCAAGAACCAAGTAATGGTTGCATCTGCAACCATGATCAGACTGCAAACCGGCAAGTTGAAAGGGGTGTGGTCAGACAAGAGCACTATGCAGGAAGCCAGAGAAGAAGAAGAAACCATCACATAAGTGGTGTCATCAGCTGCTACATTCTGTGGGATTTTCTGTGGAGGGAGATACGATCACTTATAAACTGAATGGTTTCATGTGCAATGAGGCTGATCTGTTGCCTAACTAATTAACTAACATATAAAATTACTTATTTGTCTGTGAAAGTTTGTATATGTAAGTTTGTATATGCTTCTTTCAGCTTCATAGTAATGTGGCACAGATATTTGGAAGGTTCATACGTGAAGGAAAAGCTACAGTGAGCTTTTTGAACCCAGCAGATGACATATCTTTTAGTAAGGTAAGTAGCTCTGTGCTTTATCTGATAAAATTTGAGTGTTGCATGCACGTCCATTTTACAGATCTGACTCATGTGTATGCAGACTGTCGGTTCCTTGCCTCTCAGGCAGAAGCACTCCGACTTTAAGGAAGCTCCTAATAAGTTGACTCTTACTATATGCTTTTTAGTAGACAGTGGTTTTGTACTTGATTTCCCCACAGTGGTGCCCTACAGTCCACACAGAAAAGGTGTGTTGCAAAAGGTGAAGTTTGCTGAAATCAGATCAGATGTGTTGGCCTGCAAGGCACATGTTTTCAGTCTAACTGTAGATCACAACACATCATGCTAACCATCCATTTAAGGACAAAGGAAGTCAAAAGAAGAAGGACATGATTCTATTGATATCCCTGGATATAAAAAAAACAGATAGGCTAACAACGGCTGCTGGGAAATTCATGCAGCCCCCATCCCCCCATTTTCAAAGCCTCAAATCTTTAAAAAAGGGCAAAGACACACCTAAGACAGACAAAACTATACAGAGATGAGCTAGAGAGAAGAAAACACAAATTACTGACCAGAGCCTGACAGCATAAACAAGCTTGACAGCGTAAACAAGCCTGACAGCATAAACAAGCTTAACAGAAATGCACAGGCCAGAATTTTCCGACTCACAGTGGGACTTGATAAACTTAGAGCACACATACACTGCATGCGTCTCGCTGACTCTGCTATATATGATTGTCATGCATCAAAGTAAACCTCCAGAGCACGTATCACACGACTGGTGAGCTTATGCCAGACAGAGCCAGAAAATCTAGCTTATAGGAGTGATATTTGACAACAAGTGACCTCCAGTGAAGATCTGACATGCACTGTTCTATTTGTGATCCATGTTGGAATACATTAACTGCACACATTGATTGCTGAGAAAGAAGAAGCTTGGTATTTTTTAAATATTTTTATAGCAATTTGTTTTTTACTGCACACATTTTGAGATTTTTACATTTTGTTTAATTTATAAACATTTAGTGTTAATTACATTTTACTTTAATGTTAGGGCTTTAAATGTTTTTTTTTTTAAACTGAAATATTGCCTTCAATCATTAAGCAACAGGTTTCCCGTGTGGGTTCAAGGGCTGTATTATGGGAGAAAACAAGAATAGACCCACTGCCTCCGCAAAAGCATGTCGTAAGAGTCGACTAATTGGGAGCTTCCTTCGAAGTCACAGTGCATCTGCCTAAGAGGCAAGGAACCAGCAGTCTGCATATACGTGAGTCAGGTCTGTAAAATGGATAAACATGCCACAATCAAGTTCTGTAAAAGGAACACCGTCCAGAATTGGATAAACAGCCCAAATTGTCCACCAGAGTTTACAGCTAGTGAACGCAAAGAAGAAGCAACAGTTTTTAAAAAAAATTATGTGGCACTTCAATGCCTCCCCCCCCCCCCCCCCCCCCCCCATTTTCCTTTTTTTTTTTCAACCTTTTTCCTTAACAAGACAGAAAGAATTAAATAAAAGCTGTTGATTAGTTTAGATTAGTTTCAGGATCGCTGGTGAAATCTGCAGTAGTTGCTTATTATTGCTAGTAAACAAAATCACTTCATTGTTGATACTTTAGTGCCACCAGGCAAGTATCAAGCCACTGTGGCTAGACTAGAAAAAGCAAACACACAAATATCCTTTTTGAAATTGGATGTGCTGAACCTCAGGCTCAAACAAAGAGTACAGTGTAACTTGCAACATATTGGCACCTTTCCGGCCTACAGGATAATAATGTTCCATTTAACGGTAGGGATGCATTAGAATCACACTCCATGGCCATACCAATGAAGGTCGGGAAATGAATCTCCTCTTCTTCATAACACACAGCCTGATCAGTTTTGTACAGACCATATATTGACTGTGCAGCATGTTCTCTCTCTCTCTCTCTCTCTCTCTCTCTCTTGGCCTGCTTTATTAACACTACCGGAAGAGTAACACCAATACATTTTAAAACTTGCTACATGTTTAATATCTATAATTCTGTTCTAGGCAGATCCCGTGCGACTGATGGCATTTATGAAATTGCTGAGACTGGCCTGTCAGGGCAAAGATTTTCCAGCAGATTCTTTGAGTATACTAGTTCCTGCATCAGGCAGAGAGATTGAGAAACCAGTCACCTCTCTGAAGGTTGAAAAGCCCTCAGAGTACCCTATGACATTTCCTAAATCATTACAACAGTTAATAGTAAGTGATTTGCTGTCCTCTCTGTTAGACTGTTAGTTTGCAAGTGATAAGTGATTAGCATGACTGCATGATGAAAGTCAAGTAGATAGGAGTGTTTAGGTAATTTCATGACTGCAAGATGAAAGTCAAAAAGATAGGAGTGTTTAGGTAATTGACCCTTTTGCTCTGGGAAGATGCAAAACAGACACTTCCGGTTTGCTCCAATTTACTGTAAATGTCATTTTTCTAATTTGTCTGTAGTATAGGGTAGGCTATATTGATGAGAAACATTTCAAATGCATATGTGAAGCATGTAGGAAGCAACATTTGTTACCAAATATATGGTTTTTGAGGGTTTGAACAATGGATCAACATCATAGCATACAGGTAGTAACCCATAAGTGCTCCGTTCTTCTTCTAACTTAAGTCTGAGTCCGAAGAAGCTCAGCACAGTGCACATGCTTTGTAGCACTAGCGAGGATCCTAAAATACTTTGGGTAGATTTTAACTCAAAATTTTGCCTGGTCAGCACTGTTAGGCTACTCTTTTTGATTTCCAACTGCCAAAGGATTTTTTTACGTGCGCAACAATACACACGGGTGTCCGATCTCACTACCCAGATACCAGGGGGAATTACTAGAAGTCCAAGTTCACATGAAAAAATCCCAGCCCTTACCAGGGATTGAAACCGGAACCGCTAGCGCTCGAGGCGGACACCATGCCTCGAGACCATACAGCCCCCCTACCAAAAATATGGAAAACCTGCTAAAGGAAGGGAGTTTTGCACTGTATTCAGTGTTTGAAGATTACAATTCTGAGATGGTTACCACCTTGAGGAGAACATTCTTTGGCTCTAACAGCCTTGTTCAGCATAGTTTTGCTGGGATAGCCGCTATCTCCCTTCACATGACGTCCTTCAGTTTGTTTATGGTATTAGGCAATGAAAGAAATGTGTAACATCAACTCCCACACTTTATGATCATCAGGTGCCTTGCCGACTGACATAGGCGATAATGTCTTTCCTCTGTCTGTGATCTCCTGCAGTATGTATCAGTTCGTGTGCTGGCACATCTCCATGCCATTCAACAAGACTGTCAAGTCAAGAATCTTCTCTCGTTGTCTTCCTCTGTGCCTCCTTCCACATATATTTTCAGTGGTTCAATTTTCCCTCTTCTCATGACGTGGCTAAAAAATGATGTCTGTCTCCTTCTGATGTCTATGATAAGATGTCTTCGGGCTACCACTTCTTTCAAAACCTCTTGGTTGCTCTTTTTGGCTGTCCAAGGTATTTAAAGCATTATTCATATTGCTTCAAAGTGCAAGGCAAAACAGCTTGACTTCTTCGCCACTGAGACTTTTGCAACATGTTGGCACCTTTCTGACTTGTTTTGGATGTCCAAGGAATAGTAAGCGTTCTTATATAGAACCACAGCTGTGAAATCTTAGGGGATTCTTTGGGTTGTTTACTGTAAAAGATTGACTACAACACTCACCTTGTACTGAGTGGTCCATAAAACTATGGATGTAGCACCATATGCCACAGTGCGCCAGTTATTTGTAAAGGATTTTTTCCTGAACTCTTACAGTCCCAAACAGTTGCAACTTTTTAATTGCATGGTTTGTTATTTTTTAGAATAAGTTATTCTTCTTGACTTCTGTTTTCAAAATGGGGAAAAGCAGTGGTGTTTTTTTCCGCTGGTTGTGATTTCTCTCGGATTGTTTTGTTCCCTCATCGCAGATCGCTATTTTGTGAGCATTTGCAACGAAGGACAATGTGTGTATTTCATGGTAGAAGCATGTATTGTGGTTGTGCTATGTCGGGGTGGGATAATAACCGATAGTTTTGGCAGCCTCGACCACGCTATCTTCGCAATGTTTTGAACGCGGTGACCCACTCGGGAAGACAGAATTTCATCAGCAGGGGACAGCAACTGTCTAGAGAGCAAACTGGATAAAAACCGTCCCTAGAAATGGAATGTGTCAACCATTTCTTGGGTAGGGAGAAGTCGACACATAGGTTAACTCAATGTTCACTTAGAATAAGAGATTGTGGGTCTTTGTGAGTTAAAATAACATAATAATGGGTCAGCATATGTTACGCCAACTGCTGGGATAACATTAATTAATATAACAGAAGAGATTAAGCTTAAGTGATGCAAGTGCAGCTCATAACCCTGAAATACCTTATTGGATTCAGCTGTGATCTATTTGGCAGCTGTCGGTTAGGCATTGATTCTGAGTTGGTGTTGAGAAACATTGGTAAACTAGGTTAGTTGCTTATCCTTTACAGGACATTGCAGAATCAACCCCAGCAGCACCTGGCTGTTGTGTGGTTTCTCTAGGCAAATTTACGTCCAGTAGTTTGCTGGTAAACTACTGAATGTAAAATTGTCTAGCAAAACTACAAGCAGCCAACAAATTCAAGGGTTGGTTTGCAACATTTTTAAAAGCATATGCAGTTAACTCCTTTTTTTAAACAGCATAACATAACCAAGTAACATAGGATGAATTACATAGTATTTATAGAGTTAAACACCACACTGCCACACTCGGTTGTAGCAAAGTTTACCTGGAGATGACTTCTGTTTGTATTTACTTCTCCTTACAGATAAAAAACTGTTCACTCAAGAAGATGAGTGCACAGATCTCAGCCCTACAAGAACTCAGACTGCTGGACATGAGCTGCAACTGTCTGTCTTCAGTACCAGAGACCCTGTGCCAACTGACAAATCTCCATACTTTAAACTTAGCCCAAAATAAACTGACTACTTTTCCAGTAAGCCTGATCAATAGCTCCATTAGTAAATGCCTGGTCAATCTTGATCTGAAGAATAATGAGATAACTAGCATACCAGCTGATATTGTGAAGGTAAGCCATCAGTTTTTTCGGAATTAATTAATGACACGATGAGGATTGATTTTTTTATCAAGTCATGTCATGAGAAGGAGAAAACTAGAGAACACTGTGAAGGTGAGAAAGTTGGAGGGGAAAAGCAGCAGAGAAAAGATGCTTTACAGTTTTTTCATCATTGCTTCGAAGATCATCTGTGCTAGAAATTATTAAAAGTACATGAAACATAAGGCTGTAGATAGACCTGACTACCAGCACTAATTTTAAGAAAAAAAATTCTTTTCAACCAGCTTGGACACTGTCACCCCTGTTTTCATTTCTTTATCACTGCTGTCTGCACTGACCACTTTTTTGGGTGGTGTAGACAGGGTAGTCGTGAGCCTGAGGATTTAGGGCCACATGGCTAGGGCTGTCGCCGTTGACTGCTTGAGGGCCACATGGCTAGTGCTGTCACAATGGACTGCTTTAGGGCCACATGGCTAGTGCTGTCACTTTGGACTGTTTTAGGGTCATATGGCTAGTGCTGTCACTTTAGACTGTTTTAGTGAAATATGGCTAGTGCTGTCACTTTGGGCAGCTTTAGGGAAATATGGCTAGTGCTGTCACTTTGGACGGCTTTAGAGAAATATGGCTAGTGCTGTCACTTTGGACTGTTTTAGGGCCACATGGCTAGTGCTGTCACTTTGGGCAGCTTTAGGGAAATATGGCTAGTGCTGTCACTTTGGGCTGCTTTAGGGAAATATGGCTATTGCTGTCACTTTGGACGGCTTTAGAGAAATATGGCTAGTGCTGTCACTTTGGACTGTTTTAGGGCACTTTCACTATAGACTGCAGATTAGGATGTTTAATATTCCTGTAGTATTTCTTTGTGTGTGTGCGCGCCAAGAGAAACAATTTTGTTTAGAGTCAAATCCTCTTCATTTTCTTCATCCACAGTTGAAGTCACTTCATTCGTTGAACATCAGTCATAATCAGCTCAGGCATATTCCGGAGTCACTGGGCTTCATGAAGACTCTACGCGATGTTTACCTTTCAAACAACCTCCTGGAGTTCTTGCCTGGCACTATGCTATCCAAATGGTACAATGCAATAGATTTCAGCAGTAATCCATTTCCAGATGAAAGAACTGTGGCTAGACAACTGAACCCTGTTTTACCCGTCCCTACATTAGCAGAGCTTGCAGCGAGAAGTGTTGTCAAATACAGGTATTTTAAAAATAGTAATTAGTTGCATATTCTTTACAGCAGTGGCTCTCAACTTTCCTTATGCCTTGACCCTTTAATACAGTTCCTCAGGTTGTGGCTCCCCAAATCCATAAAATTGTATTCGTTGCTACTTCATAACTTCAGTGACTATGTGTTTTCCTATGGTCTTAGGCGACCCCTATGAAAGGGTTGTTTGACCCCTAAAGGATTCGCGACCCACAGGTTGAGAACCCCTGCTTTACAGGATGTTGTCAGTTGCAGGGCATTATGAATACGCCTGTGTAAATTTTATAAGGTAACGATTACATTGGTGAGGGTATCATCTTGAAATTTTTCTCTTTGTCGCTTTGCCGTTGAGAGTATGCTGCGCAGTTAGCATCGAAGTACTAGTAATTTGTAGTTTTCGCACATAACATTTTCTGCATGAGCACCGTCAGCATGCAGCGAGCGTTGTTTATGCTATGTTAATACTCTTAGCAAGTTTTACCTGCTCGCTGAGACATAAACTGAGTGGTGTATTTGTAATGAATAGTAAACTGTTATAGTAAATAGTAAGTTAATGCATTTTTTTTTTTGGCAGTCAAATGTGTAAGCGACAGTTACAACCATTACATTGTGCCGGTGTGTTGGGAAATGAGCAGGCAGATAGACTGGCTGGCTCTGCACCACTTGGTGGTGAATAGATGTATGACAAGTTAGATATTGTGAGGGCTTTTTGGGAGCGAGTGAACAGTGCAGAGGTGCAGATAGATCATTATGGTCTAAGGAGAATGGCCCTGGGAGGAGTTAGCAGGAGATCTGGCCAACACTGAGCACTCAGGGGATGGATGAGACGGATATAAAAGCAGACGGTTTCTGGTAGCATAGGAATAGAAACTCTTTGCTTGCTGTTGAAGATGGGGACTGAGCACTTATGGGAGTGTCCTGAGTGCTGTGATGTCGATTCTTGATTCAACATTCAACATCATTCTTCAGCCATTTGACATAGGACATTTCATGTAATTTGCACTGGCACCGTAGCGAAGCAGTTATGGGAGGACCCGTCTGCAGTAATTTTGGAACCGTGACTAATGACTAACAACAGTAAATAATAAAACTATTTTGATTTCATTTCAGGGTCCCATACTCAGCCGAGGATCTTGACTGGTATTCCATAAGTTATCTGAAGACAGCTCGCTTTTGTTTGTGTGGGAAGCCCTGTTTTGAAGCAAAGAGTACGCAGATTGTCTGGATGATGGTGGCCTCTAACGTGCTGTATAATGAACAACAGGCCCCGTATTTGGTCAACTTTTGCTCCAGAACTTGTATTTTAAGACTGTGAATGAAGCGTGAAGATACAAATTTAAACGACTAGTTGTTAATGCCTGGTTTTACAGGGTGGTAGAAGGTAGAAGACAAGCTGGTCTTGACACTGAGGATTTAGGGTCATATACTAGTATAGCCACCATAGACTGCAGGTTACGATTTTATTTGTGTCCCTCGCAACAACAAAATCCATGACCCAACTGAAGACTGCTTCTTCTTCTTTGTGTTCATCAGCTGTAAACTCTGGCAGAAAGTTCTGGTTGTTCATCCACTTCGGGACTGCAGTCCTGTTCCAGAACCTGAGTGTTGCGTGTGATCTGTTTTACAGATCTGACTCATTTGTAAGCAGACTGCTGGTTCCTTGCCTCTCAGGCAGATGCACTTTGACTGTGAAGGAAGCTCCCAATTAGTCGACTCTTATGACATGCTTTTGGGTAGGCAGTGGGTCTATTCTTGTTTTCCCCAGAACCCACACATGGAACCGAAGATTTAAATCTGGGTTTTTGAATGAGAACCTAGCATTCTTAACCAATCAGCCAGCTGCTGTTCCTTTCGGGGAAGACTGAATAAATTGTAGAATGTAGTGGAAGAGGTAGAGCTGATCAGCTTCCCAGTAAAACACTAATGACAGACAGATCAGAAGTTGTGGTGAAGAGCCTTCATCAGCATGCACTAACACTAATGATGATATAAAAGGACTCTTTTTCACGCTTTCAGGCCTATTGGGCATATAGGGCTAGACCTATATTTTATAGACCAGTCGGCACTTGATGTGGTCAGCATCATGCCAGCCACCTTTACTTCCCAGGACTGCACCTGGTACCCACTCAAGGCTGTGTCCACCTGTGAGCTAAGGTAAATTAGGAAAACTATGATATAGCTACGTTAAATAACATACCTTTTTTTAAAGAAATAGAACAAATTTGTCTCATATTCTCCCTCCATGCTTTGAAAAAGGTCTGTTGGTGTGCACCCTCACTGGAATTAAGTTGTCCTTCTAAAGGTGTAGCCCATGATGAATGAGAGGCTGAGTGTACAGAAGTTAGATTAAACAGTTATAAGCAGGAGGTGACCATTCCTTGGATGAGCCCAGTACCAGAACACCAAATGTTGGCTCTACAGTTTAAGGAAGCCTCCTTAAATGGTGGGGAATGCTCATGTTATGTCATTTCTTCTTTTGAGGACTGGCCTGGGGAATGCTCATGTTCTGTCCTGTCTTCTCTTGAGGACTGGCCTGGGGAATGCTCATGTTCTGTCCTGTCTTCTCTTGAGGACTGGCCTGGGGAATGCTCATGTTCTGTCCTGTCTTCTCTTGAGGACTGGCCTGGGGAATGCTCATGTTCTGTCTTGCCTTCTCTTGAGGACTGGCCTGGGGAATGCTTATGTTCTATCTTGTCTTGCCTTCTCTTGATGACTCACCAGCATGGCTGCTCTGGATCAATCTGATGGGGGGGACCACCTGTGAACTTGGAAAAAAAGATGACCACACTGCAACGAGACTGCAGTGTCCCACAAAACTGACTGGGAAGATTAACCTGGGCAACAAATGCCTGCAGAAGTTGAATTTGTCTGCTGAAAGGAGCAAATAACGCAGTCGTGTTGCTGCACAATGCATTACATCTTCAGAAGAATGCAAGGGAGGAAGACAAGATATTCTCACAGATGGACAATAAACAAAATGTTTTATTTTTCTACAGTCGTCTTCTTTTTCTTCTTCTTCTTTTTTACCTCTTCTTCTAGTTACCTATACTATATGAACATAACAAGCATTATTGAAAAAAAATACAACTGCTGTGTGAAAGATGGGTGTTTGAATGGGCTGAATGTAAGATGGGCCTGCGAGCTCAATGTGAGCCTTTGAAAATAAAGTTTGTTCGTTCATACCTCTGCAAAGTATTGAGTAAAGATGGTCTGTATGCACTTTCTGATGTTTATTTCTCTAAGAGTTTATTTGATGCCATCATTCCATGTTTTGTGTAGTTTTTCTCTTGATCTGTGTTCACTATATTTATTCTGAATGGCTGTCTGTTGCATATGTTAATTGGAACATTCTCTTCAAATGACCACACCATCTCATCTTGCTCTCTAGTAAATTGTTTGGTTGATTTTGATCCAGCATTCTTATTTCTCTACATTTTAAATTGTATCTCTTGTTAATCTGACATCTCTCCTAAGACATCTCTGTCATTATTTTCATTCATTAGTTTTAGTATGGGTCTAAGTTTGCCACTGGCAGCTATGTGGGTCCCCCCCCCCCCCCACTCCCATTGGGAGAGATGGAAGAATAGACCCACTACCCCCTAACAAGCTTATCATAAAAGATAACTTGCTGAAATTGGATGTGTTGGGCTGAAAGGCAGTTGCAGCTTAGCTGTAAACCACAACATAATGTGCCAATCACCATTTTAAAGGTGGATGCAGAAGAAAATATGGTAAAAGAGATTAAGCAGTGGACTAAGCCAGTTATCTTGCACACGGTTTTCAGTTTTGTTCCAAGAAGCCACTTTTGTTTTTGAATTTTTTTTAACTGAATTTAAATACCAGACAACTGAGCATGTATCTCTTACTCACTCTAAAATGGGAATAGGCTGGGTTTTTTTTGTTTTTGTTTCTGGCAAAGACCATTTAGATATTTATAATATTGGCTATAGAAACAGTTTTTGAGATTTGCTAGGGCAGACATCGGCATACTTGTATCTGTCGATTTCCAACAGCCAGCGACTCCCTTTTTCAAGATGAATTTAGCATGGATGAATTAGAACAAGCCCTGAAGAAATTAAAACCTAGAAAATCACCAGGCCCAGATAAGATCCACAACGAAATGCTGCTACATCTTGGCCGGTCTGGGAGAGAAGTAGTTCTCAGGTTTATTAATAAAACTTGGAGGTCAAGCAAACTTCCAAAGGCATGGAGGAATGCATATATCATCTTAAAACCAAAAAGCCCCCCTGTGAGTTCTGGGGCCCTATTGTGGGGAAAACAAGAATAGACCCACTGTCTCCCCAAAAGCATGTCGTAAGAGTCGACTAACTGGGGAGCTTCCTTTGAAGTCGGAGTGCATCTGCCTGAGAGGCAAGGAACCAGCAGTCTGCATTCAATTGAATCAGAACTGTAAAACTGATGCACACGCAACACTCAGGTTCTGGAGCAGGAATGCAGTCCAGAAGTGGACGAACAACCAGAACTTTACGCCAGAGTGTACAGCTGGTGAACGCGAAGAAGAAGAAGAAGAAAACCAAAAAGCCTCCAGACGACCCCAAAAGCTACAGCCAGATATCCTTAACATCATGCTTGGGCAAAGTTGCAGAAAGAATGATAAACAGGCGCTTGTATTGGTTAGACAAACACCAAGTGATAAACGAAGAGCATCCTACATACCTTGGAGTCACACTTGATCGGCAGCTCAGCCTCAAGAATCATATTGAAAACGTAAGGAATAAGGCATTGAGGCGGTTACAGTTATTAAAGAGACTTGCAGGTACATCATGGGGATCAGACAAGGAAACTCTGAGGGGCTTATATCTAGGATATATTCGCTCTGTGATAGAGTACAACAAATCACTGCTTACAACCTGCTCCAAAACTAACCTAGAGACTCTTGACTGAGTACAAAATAATGCCCTCCGATTAATCTGCGGAGCTATGCAGTCTACACCAATTGCTGCATGTGAAATCCATACAAATGTGGAATCCCTTGGGTTGTGGAGAGAAAAAGCCACTTTAGAAATTTATGAAAGAAGCGTTAGAAAGAATCGTAATCATCCTAATAGACACCTTGTAGAAAACTGGGAATCCAAACAAAGAATAAAGCACAAATCGGTTTTACACTGTGTTAATGAAATTCAGGACAGATACCACCTTCCAGAAAGACGTCAAGGCATTCAGAATGTTACAAGAAACCTACCACCACATGCTCGCTTTAAAGCTCCAGAAGTCCGAATTAAATTGGTAGGCAAGGAAACCAAACAGTCCGACCCAATCGCTCTCATGAACTCATCACTAAAGACCGTTGATTCTTACCCCCAAGAATGGATACATGTTTATACTGATGGATCTGCATTTAAAGCTACCATTAAAGCAGGTTACGGAATCTACATAGGTTATCCCGATGGATCTGTTGAAGAGATTTTTGATGCATGCGGGAAATTCTGTTCAAATTATGAAGCTGAATTAATTGCACTGGAAACAGCAGTATACCACCTAAATACTGTAATGGATGTTTACCCTTCAAAGGCCCAAAATATTCTTCACAGATTCAATGTCTGCCCTTCAACCTCTGAAGGGCAGTGAACACTGCAGAACTGACGTAGCCAAGATAATCCTGGATGCTGATCAGCTTATTACCTCATACAACATCAGAATAGTGATGCAGTGGATTCCAGGCCACTCCGGCACACCAGGTAATGACAGAGCTGACCGACTGGCAAAGAAAGGAGCAACACAAGAACAACCACCTACAGCGACAACCCTACAGACAGCAAAAACACTTATAAGAGCTATAAACAAAGAGACTTGGTTGAACAGATGGGCCATGGGAGACACTGGAAGAGAGGTTTATAGACACATGGCTGGCCCTGATCCTAATGACAGCATTAACCATCTAACAAGAAGGGACCAGGCAACCATCTTCAGACTTAGAACGCAACATACTCCACTCAATGGACATCTAAACAGAATACAGCCACAACACTCCCCAGAGTGCCATCTATGTAACTACCCCTACAAAACTGTTGAACACCATCTCTTTGAGTGCCCAAAACTCAGCAAGACTAGAAGAATGCTACTCCCTCCGAGACCAGACAAGTGGAACACCTTGTACGGAGGAAAAGAACAGCTTGTGAAAACATGCAAATTCCACTACATGGCATTGGGCCAAAGGGCGAAAGCTCATGCGCCGCTGGATCGATAACAACAACAATACCAGACAACTGAGCATGTATTTCTTATTCACTCTAAAATGGGAATAGGCTTTGGGGTTTTTTTTTTTTTTTCTGGCAAAGACCATTTAGATATTTA